TGTGAGAGAGAGTGTGTTTGTGTGTGTGTGTGTATGTGTGTGTGTGAGAGAGTGTTTGTGTGTGTGTGTTTGTGTTTGTGTGTGAGAGAGAGAGAGTGTTTGTGTGTGTGTGTGTTTGTGTGTGTGTGAGAGAGAGAGAGAGTGTTTGTGTGTGTTTGTGTTTGTGTGTGTGTGTTCGTGTTCCTCTCGTGCGCTGCTCTGGTGGCAGCAGGTGTTCCCGCAGGCACACACTGATGATGTAATCACCCCTCCCCCTCTCTCAGGTTATGTGCTGATGATGTAATGGTATGACATCACATGGTAGGTCAGCACTCAGCAGTGATTATCCTCATCCGTACGCATGTGCGCTGACCTGGCATGCTGCATATCATCATAAGCCTTCAGAATAATCCCCACATATGCCAACACGCCAGCCTGTATTTATGTCTCTGTGTGATATTAATTTCATACAGTGAAACTGTGAATACGCTTATGTGAAACTAGTGCGTTGTTGTAATGTATTTATGTGGTTTGTTCCCTCAGGAAGGGCACATGTGCTCAGATGTGGGATGACAGTTCTCTGAGCTGAGGAGTCATTGGGCTTATTAAACACCGAGAGGAGCTCCGGCGGTTTGTTTAGTCCGGAGCTCAGGAAAGGCCATCACTTTAGACTGTGAATGGGGTGGTTTACCCAAAAATCTGAATTGTCATCTTTTGCTCACCCTCATGTTGTTCCGAACCTGTATGATTTACTTTTTGTTATGGAAAACACATAAGGAGGAATTTTGATAAATGTGCTGGTAGCCGTTTTCCATGCAATTACGATTGGAGGCTTTATGGAGCCAAAAGTGCCAATTAAAATGTCAAAAATGATGTCTATATGACTGGTGTAAATTTTGAAGTCATATGATAACTTTATAAAAGGAATAAAGGAACAGATTTATATACTTATTTATTATTTATACTTATTTATTTACATTTATAGTATTTATATACTATTTATGTATGATATTTTATACTAATATACAAACATTTATTAATATTTTGAATTAGTTATTTTCATATTTTCCATTTTTGTTTTAAGTATTCGGTGTAGCTTGAATTTATTTATTATTTATTTTAGTTTTAGTTTGTTCATTTTAGTACTTAAACTTACCTTTTATTTATGTTAGTTGCCAGGGCAAAATGTCTAATTTTGTCAAGTTTAAGTTTAGTAAGTTTAAGTTTTCATCTAAAATGTATGTTTTAAATGTGCTCTAGCTTTATTGCTTCATATTTATTTTTAATCATTTTAGTTGTAATAGCAATGGTAATTATGCAGAATTAAAAATGTACAATAAAATTATTTTTATGAATATTGTTGGCATAATAATACTAATTATTATTATTATTATTATTAAGATGATGATGAATACAACATTTGCAATGTATTAATATTGTTAAAAACAATAACTATTTTATTATTATAATGAAAGTTACCTTATTAGAAAATAAACATTTAAAATTTTAATTTAAATATTGCGTTTAAGTTTTTCGTCTAATATGTATATTGTATTAAACTTCATCTTTATTTCTGTTAACTAAAATGATTTTCAGTTGGCAAGAACTACACTGGAACAGACTCAATTTTTGGTCATTAATCATTGACATATCCATACTAGCCTCTGTTTATGAGAGCAGTAGCGGTGTTCAATTCATGAGCAAATCATTCTTCTATCTTTTTTTTTTTTTTTTTGCAGTTTAATTTAGCAGCTACGTCTGGTAAAAATTAGCAAATCTGCTTATACCCAGGAGCTGCTTTCATTTAGCAGACGCTTTTATCCGAAGCAACTTACAAAAGAGAATTTAGTCCAGTTGTTGTTTTGTACCACTTTCATTGATATAGCAGTAGAAAGTAAGCATATGATGGGAAGAAGAGGGAGAAAAGAAGGGCTTGCAAGCCAGATGCAAACTCGCATCACCTGCATGAGCACCAGCCATCTGACGGTGACTCCAAGTACAGTTTTAAATTACCTATTTTATGTCATTTTCTCATCACATTTAATTTTTTAAGCTAGTCCATTAGCATTTTAGAGGTAGTTCCTTCCTGGGCTCTTGAGCGCTAACATGCTTCGTCATTCTGTTGCACACGTGTTGTTTTTAAACGGTGAAAGCTCACTACTTCTGTCAGCGCTGGTCCGGAATCAACATGAAAATGAATCTGTTGTGTGAAGCCGGTTTTATGTTGAAAGACTTTGGCACTCTGTGGTGTCCGGTTCCTCAGCAGAGAAATGAAAAGTTGCTGACGCACAGCTCGTTCTCTTGAGAGAAGCTCTGCGTTCAGGAAAGGAGCACGAGACGGATGGTGTTTGATGTGAGGTGACTCCAGGTGTTTCCTCAGGGCTCTCAGGATCGGTTGTGTTTGTGTTGCTGGAGAACTCTGCGCTCAAGCTCACAGTCGCTCTAAAGATGTGAGAGCCGATATTACAGGATCTGATTCTAGTGTGTGTGTGTTGTGGTTTTCCTTTATTCAGTGTGAAGAATAAAGGGCTTGCTGTGTTTTAGTTTTTTCGTCTGTTGGGGGGAAACGGCAAGGTGTAGTTTTGTTCTCCCTCTGTGTCCCATTGGCTCTTACTGTGACCTTTCTCTTTCTGTGTGTGTGTCTCTCGCTCTCAAGAATAACAATTAGAATAACAATAATTACAATAACAATAATTCGATTTTCTTAGAAAAAGTAGAAAATATGTTGTATTATAATATACTATTACCCACCCTTTTTAAAATCCATTTTATAGTTGTTTATCAACCCCCAGGACCACAAGGTAACTTCGTGGAAGAATTAAATGTGCTGCTCTCAAATTTTCCTGAGGAAATGTACTCCCCTAGTAATGCTTGGAGACTTCAACATCCACCTAGATAAACCTCAGGCTGCAGACTTCCACACTCTGCTTGCCTCTTTTGATCTCAAGAGAGTGTTAACTACGGCTACTCACAAATCAGGCAACCAACTGGACCTTATTTACACACGACACTGCTCCACTGATCATGTGCTTGTTACTCCACTGCACACCTCGGATCACTTCCTTCTCACTCTTAACCTTAACATGGCTCCTAACACAACACATACCCCTCCACATGTCATCTTTCGATGTAACCTACGCTCACACTCACCCTCCCGGCTATCTGCTATGGTTTCATCTTCGCTTCCTCCCCCTAAACAATTATCAGCTCTTGATGCTAACAGTGCTACTGATACTTTCTGCTCCACTCTTACATCTTGTTTAGACACTGTCTGCCCCTTGTTTTCCAGGCCAGGCCGTACCACCCCTTCTGCCCCTTGGTTATCTGATGTTCTCCACGAGCATCGTTCTAAGCTCAGGGCTGCTGAAAGGGTGTGGCGTAAATCCCAAAATCTTACTGACCTTAATGTGTGTCAGTCACTCCTCTCTTCCTTCTCTGCTAATGTCTCCACTGCTAAAAGGACATACTATCATAACAAAATTTAAAATTCGTCTAACCCTTGCATGATCTTTAAAACATTTTCCTCCCTTCTTTGTCCTCCTCCTCCCCCTCCTCCATCAACTCTAACAGCTGATGACTTTGGCACATTCTTCATTAATAAAATTACAACTATCAGTGCACAATTCTCCACACCACAAACTGTCAAACACATCTTACCAGCAAACATACGTCCTTCACTCTCTGAGGCAGAAGTCTCCAAACTCATCCTTTCTAATCATCCTCCTACTAGTCCGCTTGATCCTATTCCATCTCATCTTCTTCAAGCCATTTTTCATACAGTTGTACCTGCACTCACTCACATCATTAACACATCCCTTCACACTGGTGTTTTCCCTCAGCATTTAGACAGGCTCGTATAACCCCACTACTTAAGAAACCCACCCTTAACCCATCCTTAACCCAAGTCTCAGCCTTTCTCACACAGAACAACCTCCTGGACATTCTATCCGTTTTCTTTTTATTTATTATATGATCAAAAAAAAACCTTGCTACGTGTGCTGCGTTAGGCTAACTGTGACTTGCTATAGCACTTGCATATCATTGCTCTTTTGTTGATTTTGATTGCTTTCATTGTCCTCAGTTGTAAGTCGCTTGGGATAAAAGCGTCTGCTAAATGTCTAAATGCAAATGTAAATATATTAGTATCACTAATAATAATTGTACAATGAAATTAATTTTTGTGTATTATATCATTAACCACAACAACAATTATAATGAAAAAAATTACACAAAATATTTTTATTAATATTGGTAATATAATAATTATATTTAAACAACAACAACAAAAATTATAATCATAATAAATTGTACAGTTAAATTATTTAGTATTAATATAATTATCATCATCATCATCATAATAGTGATGATATAATAATGAAAATGCAAATAATAATGGATACAAATTGTACAATAAACATAGAGCTGAAAATTCAGCTTTGCATTACAGGAATAAATTGCATTTTAAAATGTATTTACATAAAAAAAACGTGTATCTTATATTTGAATAATATTTCACAATATTACCGTTTACTGTATTTTTTTGATCAAATAAATGCAGCCTTGATGAGCAGAAGAGACATTAAAAGATCATACCGATCTAAATCTTTTGAGCCACTCGTGATGAATGAATAAAAAAAGATCAATTCCCCAAGCATAAACATTTAACAAAAATAAGTTGGATGGGTTATAAATAGTATATTTACACGCAGTGTTCAAAATCAAAATTCAAATGCAAACACTGATTTGTATGATTGCAGATCTTGTCACGTCGTCTGCATGCGGTCAAGCTTGCATGTTCTTCTCTGCTCTGTGTGTCTTTCTCCATAAAATACTTGGATGAATAAGGGTGTCATTCATGTAAATTCATAAATTCAGTCAGGTGTTTGGCTGCTGTGGTTTGTCCCAAAAGTTATGAATCTTCCACAGTTCTGCTCTGTTTTTGATTAATTCTCAAAAAAGCCAGCTTTATTGCGAAGCGATGTGAACATCTCCCTCTCCTATCCTCATCCCTCTCTCCGCAGAACAACGACAACGAGACGCCGCTGCACTGTGCGGCTCAGTACGGACACACTCAGGTGGTGCAGCTGCTGCTGGAGGAGCTGACCGACCCCACCATGCGCAACAACAAGTTTGAGACGCCACTTGACCTGGCTGCGCTCTATGGCCGGCTGGAGGTGGTCAAACTTCTGCTGAGCGCTCATCCCAACCTGCTCAGCTCTAACACCAAGAAGCACACCCCTCTCCACCTGGCTTCCCGCAACGGACACCTGGCCGTGGTGGAGGTGCTGCTGGCCGCCGGCGTGGATCTCAACTATCAGGTGAGGAAGGGCAGATCTGAGATCAGGGTCTGTGCTGAATTTTCAACACACTGTTTATGTCAATCTCACATTCAGGAATCGAGCAATGATTCACATTCAAGCACTCAAGACGTTTTGGGACGAAATTGGATAGTAGTTCTGTACTTAAGTGTGCTGCATTATGTACATTTTCTGTATCCAAGGACTAACTGAATTTCCTTGTCAAACTGCCAAATTATAGGACTTTTTATCTTTTATTTTTTTATTTTTTACATAAAATTGGATTAAAACTGCATTTATGTGACCCTGGAGCACAAAACCAATCATAAGTAGCACGGGTATATTTGTAGCAATAGCCAAAAATACATTGTATGGGTCAAAATGATCCATTTTTCTTTTATGTAAAAAATCATTAGGATATTAAGTAAAGATCATGTTCCATGAAGATATTTTGTAAATTTACTACCGTAAATATATCAAAACTTAATTTTTGATTAGTAATATGCATTGCTAAGAACTTCATCTGGACAACTTTAAAGGTGATTTTCTCAATATTTAGATTTTTTTGCACCCTCAGATTCCAGATTTTCAAATAGTTGTATCTCGGCCAAATATTGTCATATCCTAACAAACCATACATCAATGGAATGCTTATTTATTCCACTTTCAGAAAATGTATAAATCTCAATTTTCGAAAAATTGACACTTAAGACTGGTTTTGTGGTCCAGGGTCACATATTTGTTTTTTTTAATATTCAGTGGTTATTGTGCAGTGTGCTAGTGTTCCATTCTGAACATAAGGTGCGTCTAAAAATCGCGTACTTATGCAATATTCTATAACGTTTTGTAGAAAAATGTGTAAAATTCCAAAAAGAAAAAGTGCACTTTAAATACCTGGATGATTCAGTTAAATAACTGAAAAAAACAAAGTGCTGAATGTTGAACACTTCATGCACTCAACTGTCGCAGCTTTAAAGGGGTCATATGATGTTGCTAAAAAGAACATTATTGTGTGTATTTGGTGTAATGAAATGTGTTTATGCGGTTTAAGGTTCAAAAAACACATTATTTTCCACATACTGTACATTATTGTTTCTCCTCTATGCCCCGCCTTTCTGAAACGCGTCGATTTTTACAAAGCTCATCGGTCTGAAAAGCGAGGTGTGCTGTGATTGGCCAGCTATCCAGTGC